GAAAGTGAATGGGGAGGGTGCAGGGACTCAAACTGGCATCTGCCCCCCACCTGGATTGAGATTGTCCGAGTGCAGGTTGGGGGCACGATCCTGGCCAGGGAAGTGCCTTGGCTGATGTGGATGTGGTGTTGCTTGTTTCTGGTTGTGTGTGGTGGGTCCAGCTCTTACCAATCAAATTACACAGCGGTGGGATACTTGGATCCTCTTTTCTTCCCTGTCTCCTCTGTCATACTGTGAAGCTGTCTAAATGTCAGGGGTGCTGGTGATTTGGCTGTGATGGGAGTGAATTTTAACGAGGCTTGCTCCTCAGCGTGAATGTATTGATGTAGGCATGTCATGTAGCCTGTCTGTCAGCCAAGTTACTAGCTTTCAGCTGTTTTATATGCATATTTTAGGGATTGCTTCCAACCTGGGAAAGCCCAGTCAGGTCACTGCAGGGCAAGGCAGAGCTGTATTCCCATACCCACCTAATGCTGCCGCTGCTTTCCTGACCCACGAGGATCAGAAGGAATCCATGGGAATCGCTGTCTTCTGGCTCCTGCTTCTGTTTGGGGTGGCTGTTGCAAAGGCAGGCTGGGCTTACTCATCTGCCTTCAATGCAGCCACACAATCAGCTCTTTCGAGGAAGGGAATTCATTAGTTTCTGTGAAGTGGCCTTGGATCTCTGGGCAGCAGGTGCTTCTATAGAGCAAACTGTTGCTGAATATTCAACAGTTGCCATACAAGCGTCGGGCCGGCTGCCTGTGAAGCACTTGGAGTTATCTTGAGCATCCCATTAGATAAAGTGCAGAGCACTTGCAGGTTTAAAGCTGCCCGCAGCTATGTTGTGTTGGTGGTATCTTAACGTTAAGGGCTGGAGTTGGTTTTTTTCGTTTTTTTTTTTCATTTTTTTTAAATGTGAATCTTCCAAGATCATAAGCAGCAGCTTATCTCTTTTGACTCAGCTAACAAAGGGAACTGCCTAGCAGAATGACAGCCACAGTGATTCATATTCAAGGCATCATTCTCTTACTGGTTGGGGCTAATGACATGTGCACTGGAAACAAATGACTCAGGCTGGAAGTGTCTCTTCATAGTTAAACTTCTTAAACTCTCCTTAAACTCGAGTTAGCTCTTTCAAGGCTACCCGAATAACACTTGTTCTTATCAGCTTCTAATTTGGTACCTGGAGTACTGTAGATATCTAAGCTATGAAGGAATAATTTGAGGGGTTAAGGTGTGCAATCAACCTTTTTATTCTCCTCTCTTTTTTCTTTTTTTTTTTTGTGTTTTTTTTTTTTTGTTTGTTTTAGCAGCTTAGGTGTGGTCTGTCAGCAGCTCGTGCTACATGGCATCATTGACAGTAGGGTTCTGTGAGAAACTGTGGTCAGTGAACAACTGCAGCTTCAAATAACTTACAGCTTTAGTCAGGAAGGTGTGGATGCCTGTATATTGTTTACTAGTGACGTGCTCTGATCCTCTTGTCTTGTAGTAGCTTATTTAACCTGTATTAGTTGTTTTAAAGGTGCTTTGTCTGTGTTCTCCTACTGGTTATTTAGGCCACAGAAGGAAAACCTTTAATTAAATGTGTAATTGTGACAGTTGCACTGCAGGCTGGTTTCACCAAGGAGCTGAAGAGGCATCTTGTTTCGTGTGCTTTACAGGCATCCTTGTGCCTGGAACACTGCATAATGAGGGTGTAGTGATTCCACACCCCTAAGGTTGTAAAACTTAATAGCAAAGCGCGTAGTTCCTACCCACAGAGAACAGCTTTCAGCACAGGGGCTGCTCCTGGTTGCTGTACATCTCGCTGAAATAGTGTTGGCACCGATTGGAGGTGGACCCCGAGCACTTAAAAGCATGGAAAAGCAGCTGATGCAGCTGCTGGAGCTGAGCCCTCCTGGCAGGATTGTTTGTTGGTGCTGCTTGCGTTGAAAGGACCGGCGTCTTCAGGGTGTGATTTGGCTGTGGGGTGTTCAGAGAGTAGCTGAGCACTTTGTTTGTGCCGGGCAAGGGGGTCAGTGCCAGGTTTGAGGAGGGCTGGCAGCCTGGGATGTGGAATCTGCTTCCCCCGCTGCGAGGAAGCAGCTGAGGGGGAGCTCCTCCAGGGACCTTGGCTGGCCCATGTTCTTCATTTATCCAGTCCCCATCAGTCCCTGAGCTCCCCTCAGCTCAAGGATGGGATCAGCAGAAGGGAGGACCTGCTTCCAGAAGGGGTTCCAAAGTCTTGCAGTGAGGCTGTAAAGGAGGTGTTCAGGCTTACCGTGGGTCATCGCCTCCAAAAGCTCAGTACTTTGCTCTTTTTTTTTTCCCCCACGGGACTTTAAAGTGTAGGAACAGAACAATTACACCTGGGAAAGGAATCCCTGGTACTGAGCAGGCTGGGGACAGTGCAGCCTGTGCTGGAGCTGTAGATGAGAACTCTCAGACAAGTAAATGTGTGAAGGGTAAGTTGCCACAAAGTGACAGGGAAGAGAAGTGAGCCCTCAGCCTGCATAGATGACACTGCACATCTAATTGCTAATGGACTCTTTTTAAAGAACAACTCAGCAGCTATTCTTAGAGAAAGCAAATGTGTGGTGTTACCTACAGAGAGCAAAAAGGGAGTTTTTCCTGGTCTTCTTGACCTTTACTTTCTTGTGTTAATTTGTGTAATACCAGTGAGATTTTCCTGCTATAAAAACTTGCTTAAGCAGAGACTTCTCCAAAACCTCTGGAAAAGAGAAAGAAACCTCTGAAAAAGACTGGCTAATTGGGAGCTTCAGGGATCCACTGTATGCTCCATGCCCTTCTCTTTCCCTCCTGGATCAGACTTTTACCAGCTGGTGCAATTCCATAACAGCAGTCAAGGGCTTTATTGCATTAAACTTGTTAGGAGAAATGGGACCTCTGTGCCTGTGGGGCTCGGGGTGAGGGAGGAAACTTCGGGGAATTGTTAGATAAACAAACACTCCTGGGTACTTCTGAAACATTTTAATTGCTCTTAACAATATTTGCTTTTTCCAACACCTACTAAAAAGGTCTTACTGCTTGTGAAGTTTGTAGATCCCGAGGTACTTTGCAAAGAGCAACAGTGGCGTTGTCCCTGCTTGCTTGTGATGGTGCAAGAAGCAGGTGAGATGTGCTGGAGAACCCGGGGCTAAGGCAGGGCCAGGACAGGCTCTAGGGCTGGGGTCTGACCTGCCAAACCACCCTGTGGGTGAGAGGCTGTGGCTCAGAGCTATAAATCCGATTGCATGAGTCAACATGGCTTCAGTAGATGCTACATGGCAGAAACCAAGGCTAAATAAATCCTTTTGGACACCTCTGAGTGATACTTTAGGAAAGTTTCAGGTGTAATAAGGCTGACACAGAGCAGTGGGAAAAGGCATCTACACGTGTGCTTATTATTGTATAAGTGTCTCACTGACATTCCTTGTTCCTCTGGAAAACCTGCTGAAAGCTCAGCTAGGAAAGCACCCAGTGTCTGCTCTCAGTGTGTACCTGGAGATTCAAACACAGCAGGCAGTGCTGTGCTTTTCCCTGCTCTGGTGTTCATTAGTTAACGGGGTCTGAGCAGGTGGGGTTGTTTTGAATTTTTTCAGCCTGTATGTGCTGGGAGATTTCACAGTTATACAAACTGGTGTTTTTGGGGAAGAAATGGACAGCAAGACCTGCCTTTCTAATAGTAGTTTTTGCAAATCTTAAGAAGCTGCAGCTTCTGCCTGACTTCAGTCATGATGAAGTGAAAAAGACACTGAGAACAGTTTGTGTCACCGGCACAGAACGTGTCTGGTTCTGCAAGAGGGGGTTTAAACCTCCTTGTGTTCCTGCAGAAGACAGTCCAGAGGCTGAAGCAGAGCTGTAGCAAGTGGTGCCACTGTGACAGAGTCCCAGTGAGGGTGCTCAGCAGAAGGGCAGGGGATGCTGGCAGTGGTGCCAGGCTGCCAGTGCCTTGGGATTCCTTGGGGAGGAGCTGGGCAGGATGACAGTTGTGCCTAAACATGAGGTATATCCGTGAATGAAATACTCCATTCCTTGTGCCAGTGAACTGAGCTGTGAATACATGACTGTCTTCACTTCCTGACAGCAGCTCAATGGTCAGGCTGCCTGTGGAGCTTCCAGGTGAGCTTTGGAGTGGAGCTCTGAGTTAGAGCATTTGCAGGACTCACTCTGGAGCTCTGAGTTGTTCGTGTCATGCTGGATGGGAATTGTCAAAGCAGCCCTGTGTTGCTGCTTATCAAAGGGCAGAGTGAAATCTTAGCCTTTATTTTTTCAATTAAGAATTTTTGTTTGTCCCTCAGGGCCAAGCAAATAGAACCCAGCTTGTTTTGGCTATTGTGAGTGTTCATGGGGCAAGAAGGGGAGGGAGAGGACGAACAACAAGAGCAAAGAGTTGCATTAATGAGAATGATGTCTTATTTTAGTTGATACTTGATCAAGACATGTGGTTCCAGGAAGCAGGAACAGATGATTTCAGTCTCTTTTTTTTTTTTCTACTCTCTTAAATCTTTGATTATCACCATGACTTATCATAAACATTTTAACACCTGCCAACTCTTTTCTCACTTCATATATTTTTGCCCATCCTCAAAAACAGAGTAAACTGTTAGGCTTATCTGGTTTGCTTTTGTTTAATCTATAATATTAATCACAGGAGTAACTCTCAGTGACTTGTGTATTATCTTCTTCCAGAGGATGCCTCATTTTGTTACAAAACTTTGAGGATATTTATTACTTCAAGTGCATTGTTTTAGTAAATTAGGGCAAAATTGACTGCGTTTCATACCTGAGTGTTGTGTCCTCCTCTCCCATGTAAGAGTCAGAGACAGTATTTGAGCCCCTCTGGAAGGTACAAGCTACCTCAGGGGCCTGCAGGAGCTGGCTTTGTAAAAGCGCAGGTCAGCTTGTTGTGTTCTGGCTTTTATTCAGTATCACTCTTGCTTACCAGGGCAGCCAGAGAGTGGGCTATTGCTTCTCCTGTATCTGCTCAACTGCCTTAAGGAGCCATCTGAATTGACTCCCAACTGTTCTTTTTCCAGGGGGGTGAAATCCAGGACTGCGCCTACTTGGACAGCGAAAGCGCCTTCAGCGAGTCGGAGCTGTTCCCTGATGAGGACGGGATGACTCTGGCCCAGCAGGAGGTTCACCATGAGTCTGACATGGACAGTGCCATCGAGAGTGCCCAGAGCTCGGAGGCCTCTGACGTCTGCCAGGACAAGGACGGTGTCCTGGGGGGCCTCTTCCTGCCCGGGGACAAGTGAGTGCTGGTTCTGCCCCCTGGCAGCTCTGCTCCAGGGCGTGTGCCAGGGAGGAAGGAGCCTTTGTGTGACTGATCCCTACTGTGGGAGGCTGAGGATGCCAGGTGGATTGAGAAATTTAACATCCCTTTGCAGTGTGAGGGAGATGGATGTCCAGGTCTGCTTAGGTAGTCTCAGTCCTGGCTCCTTCTGGCATGTTCTGTGAGCGCTCACAGGACTTGTGTGCTGAAGTGAAAGCGTTGTTGGGTCTCTCCAGGATGGATCACTGCATTAGAATCTCCCCAAACCTTAGAATCTTCTGTGTTCCCTTAAACTTTCTGTGCTGGAATCAAAACAAATACTTCCTGCAGAGCAGTTCAGTATGAGGAATGCTGCTTCAGTCTTTTGTGCATCGAGTTACCTGGCAATGTGGGCTCTGCAGATTTGCTTTGCAACTTCATGTACCAAATTAATTCTTTGTGTTTCTAATTTTCCATAACCTTTAGTGTTCAGCAGTAAATGGCGTTTAACACAGGGTGTCCTGGCATGTCTGTGTGTAACCATAGTTGCTGTTAACACCAGTGTCTCTGTAATCCTAACTTGACTCTTCCCAGGTATGTCCCTGGGGGTGTTGGTTAAAGCTGATTGGGGTGGGAAAAGGACCCAACTTGATTTAATCCTGCCTTGACCTGAGTTAATGCAGTACCACAGGACAGAGCCCAGCTGGGCTTGCTTTGTAAGCCTCTGCCTTGTCTTCCCTATTTTTGGCTTGCCATCTTGACTTGTGTCTCCTGAGCTTTGTTCATTGCTAAGGCAGTCTTCCTTCTCTCTCTTGGGCCTCCTCAGGTGCTCCCTGTGCAGCCTCATCCCTGCCCTCCTCCTCAATTTGCTGTTCTGACTTTTTCCCATTTGCCCAAGCCATCTCAGAGATTTATCAAGATAATTGCAGTTTTCATCAGCTCTTTATCAAACCTGTCTCCTTTGCTTGCCATTCCCAGTTCTCCAAAGCCCCATCCTTGCAGTGACTTTCACCAGTACTGTGTTTGAAATGAGTCTCTTTCCTGCCCGCTATGCCAGTCAGGCTCTTGAGAAGGGGGTGGGAAAGGCATTGTGCATCCTGAACCCCCCTTCTAGGGCAGGCAGGAGCTACTAAGAGCTATTGTGCTGCTACTGATAGACCTTGGTTTGTTCTCTGAGGCCTCCTCAGCCTTGGTGAATCTGTGGGAAAACACTTGTGAAGCTTCCTGCAGAACAGGAGATAGCTTTAAAACGCAAACAAACAAAAAGCCCCAAACAAACAAAAAAACGCCAAACACATGGAAGTTTCCTTCAGAAAGTGTCAGAATGAGGAAAATCATCTGCTTTTAGAAACTCTTTCGCAAATGACTTTGCAATTCCAGTCCTGGTGGGGGTGTTAGGAGGAGCTTCTTCCCAAACTGACTTGGTGTAACTACAGTGAGATGCAAACAGCTGTTGCAGTTACACAGGTCATGAGATCTCCCAAAAACTAATCAATACACAGTATGTCCATGGCACAGCAGCACTTCATGAATAGATGCTGAGCTTCTCACTAATCCCCCAGCCAAGGAGCCTTGTTAGATAGGTTTGATCTATTTCTAGTATGAGTATTCCTATCTTCATCCTTTAATAGTGTGCCAGGCTTGACTTGCCCTAATTTCTGTTAATGTGAGTTAGATAAATGAGTTGCAGGTTATAAATGGATCTCATCAAAACGGGAGAAACAAAAGAGCATACATCTGAAATGCTGGCAGGCTTCCTCTTCTACTAATTGCTTTTGGAGGGAAGGAATATGCAAATAGTGCTTGCCAAAGGAACACTGGTGCATCTCTTGTTTACAGCTCACCAGTGTAGTATTACGGGAAAAAGAATCTCCCTGTGGAGGGGTTGGGAGGTTCAAGGTAGACTCAAAAAAAAAAGAAAAAGCTGGGAGGAAATATTATTGAGCTGCTGTGGAACATCAGCAGGAGTTACTGTCCCATGGCTCAGCTGGTGGAGTTGAAGGTGCAGGCACTGTGCACTGAGGCAAAGGGAGTGGAAAACTTGAATCAATCGGCACAAGGTGCCAGCGGATTCCATCAGTGCCTTGTCTGTATTCCAGAGGCCCTGCATTCTGCTCTGTAGTGGGAAGAGCAATGTGTTGGGCAAGGCCAGGGTTTCACAAGTGAAATCATCTTCTTTCAGGCCTTCCAGGTGGGTTTTCTGTGGGGAGAAGTTTGTTTTTAAGGACTTGCATGTGAATTTAGTGGCTTCTCTCTGAATGCCTCACTGAGGAGGGAGCTGAGCAAACCTGTGTCAAATACCTGCCCTGCAGGTGCCCTGTGGGGCTGCAGGGCAGTCTGGGCAGGAGAACACTGTGCACTCTCTGCAGCCAACTTTGTTTTATTTGATGCTCTGCCAGCTGCTTTGCTGTGGTGCCTGGCTCTGCTGATCTATTTACTTCTGTGCCCTCTCTCTCTGAGGTCACAGGGTCCTGCCATTCCTGCCTGTTGGACATGATTTTAGGTACTTCTCTGGTAGTTAGGCAGCCTCTCCTTGTGGTCCATATCTGCTCTGAAAGGCACAATTTGTCACGATGGAAGGGAGGTCACATCAGTAGCTTTAGTGACTCTCAGGTATGTGGTGAGCTCAAGTTTGTTCCTGACCACACAGAGGAGAGTGGCTGGAGCTCATGGGGTGTGGGAGAGGGTTTATTGGGATTACTGGAAAACTCTCTGATTGCAGAATACAGCAACAGCCTCTGTCTTGCATACTTTCCTCTCACTATCCCATGCATTTTGGAGTTGTCTGCACAGTTCCTGCATTCAGAGCAGAAGTCCCCACGAGGAAATGGTGACTGAGGATCGTCAGGGTGTGTGCTCTTTAAAGTGAAATGGTTTGTGTTGATCCAAACCTGTCTCACAAGTAGCTTGTTTGTAGATTCCCATGCTCGTGTCTTTCAAGGCACCGTGTCCACTGCACATCAGATGCATTTAGCACTTCAGGGTTTTGGCACAAAGTAAGTGGGGTGCAGCTTCCAGTGAGGGGACAGGCTGTGAAGGTGGAGGATTCCATGTGAGATGAGGTGCTATCAAAGTCGGCCTTCGAGATGTTTTGACCTCTTGTTTCAGGTCAAGTCCTCACAACCCTTCTGCAGCATCTGACCTCTCCACTTACTCTACCGCCTCTCTGATCAGTAATGAAGAACAGTTTGAAGATTATGGGGAAGGAGATGATGTGGATTTTACTCCCAGTAGCCCCTGCCCTGATGATGAGACCAGAACCAACGCCTACTCTGACCTTGGCTCATCTGTATCTTCCAGGTTGCTCCTTATTCATTAACAAACAATTTCTCATTTTTATTCTTCTCTGACCACACCAGAGGTTACACTGGTTACACAGACTCACCTTAAAATGTTATCACTTCATTTTCTGCCCTCCAGTTGACAGACTGCATTTAATAAGAGCTGAGCAAATATATTGTTTCTGATAACCTCTGCTGGGTTCTGTTGAAATAACTGGGCTGTTTTGCTTCTAGAGATTTCGTTGTATTGCAGACAATATATTTCACAGTTCAGGGCTAGTACTGGAAGGGATCTGCTGCGATGGAAACCAGCTTAGCACTGTGCACCTGATGCAGTGGAGAGAAGACTTACAGGAGAGCTGCTTCTCTTTAGTGTTCTGATACTGCAGATCCTCAGCACTGTGAGGGGAAGTGCTGCCCACAAACAGGGGGTTATCATAAGCAAGTAGCTGCTCTCTGTTAGGAGCTAGAAATGCCACAGCACTGCACTGGTTTCCTGCATGTGACCTCAGTCTCTGCAGCTCTTACGTCCTGTGACCAAGTCAGTTCCAGATTTCACAGTCCTTCCCCAGGCAAGAGAATGGGGGAGCAGGGTCGGGAAGAGCTGAGCATGGACATTCTCTAGGATTTGCCTGCTTGGATCAATAGCCCACGAATGTCTTGTGCTTCATGGCTAACACAGGACAAGCTCACTGCATCCTTCTGTTCTGCATGCAGCCCCCACGTGCTCCCCTCTGTTTCCAGCACTTCTGCAATCCTGCCTTGCCACCTCTGTCCTGCATGCAGAGCCAGCACCCCTCTCCTCTGCCCCTTCACGAGGATGGCTTGTGTCCTTCATCCCCTCCTTCCTTGGGTTTATGCAGCCCTTTCCATTCTCATTCCTGGGGCTCAGTGCACTTCATGCCATGATTGCTCTTTTTTATTTGAGTTTATTTTCTCTTTATCATGCCAAGAGCTACTGTTATCTCCTCTTTAGAGCTGTGTCCACTTCTCCCTTCCTCCTCATTCCAGGGTTCCTTTCATCCTACCATCTGAAGGGCTTTGTGTGACTTCTTACCCAACCACCCTGTCTTTCATCTTCCTGTCTTTCTCTTGGAGAAGAGACTCTTCAGTTTGCATGCCAGGCTCTGACGGGAAGATGGGCAGGATGAGAGGAGGGCATTGCTGAGGTGGAACACTCTGATCTAGCTGCCTTTGCCTCATGCATCCCAGTGGACTCTGTGTGCCTTTTGCTGTTCTTGTGGTCACCCAGGCTGGTTCTTTCCACTGACACCCAGACCACGTCCTCTGGAAAGGCTCAGCTCAGACAGGTAGACTTGCCCTAAGGCCAGAACTCTCCATCATCAGCTCTGAATTACATGACTGTGGTTAGAGGTGATTCTTCCAGTCCCTCATCCGTGATTCTGACACACAGACACACAGTCAGGAGGAAAGCCAGTGGTGAGTTGGTTACTACAGCCGGTAACATCTCTCCTTTCCCGCAAACAGCGCTGGCCAAACCCCCCGAAAAATGAGGCATGTTTATAACAGCGAGTTGCTGGATGTTTACTGCTCACAGTGCTGCAAAAAGATAAATCTCCTCAACGATTTGGAAGCCAGGCTGAAAAACTTGAAAGCAAACAGGTAAGCAGCCTATTGCACTGCTTTTGGCAATGCCCCCTGGAAATGGCACCAGGTAGAAGCAGGAGGAGAGGAAGAGTGAGCCCTCTCCTTTCCTGTGTCACATTCTGTCTTATGCATGTTTTGTCCTTAAGGAAAATATGTATGTAAGAAATTTAGAGTTTGATATCTAGCCTGAATCAAAATGCTGTTCTTCATTAGCTAGTTATTATTTTTCTGACTTAAGGTGCAGACAGCATTAGTAAATATTTTAACAAATAAGCTCTTTGATTGCAGAGTGAGAGAGATATTTCCATGAATTTTTCCCAGGAAGTGAGATCTGTTGTGCTGCATAGTGCAGATCTACATTTAACCACTGCTTTCTCCAGGTGGGAAGGAGGGATCTGCAAATCCTTAGCTAATGCATATAACCTTACACACACCTCTCCTAAAGCTACTAGTCAGCAGAGGTACTTTGTTCCTGTGGGATACTGGGTTTTTTTAATCCTCAAGGGAACTTGAAAAAATTATAAATTCCTGTGGCAGGAGTTACTTTTGGGGTTCTTTGCAATTTCAGCTTTTTCCTTACATTTCTGTTAAGGAAATTTCCTTACATCTCTGCCACTCCATCCACTTCTGAGCTGTGCTGAGCACTTGGAAAGTGCTTCCAAGGATCCCCTAGGGTTTTTGAAGGGAATTATTTGGTGGGATTCGAGCTCCCCCTAGAAACTGAGCGTGAGTCGTGCCTGTTGGCATAATCCTTGGGACAGAGCACTCTTGATGGCACGGACAGGGGTCTGCCAGCACCCAGAGCATGACCCACCAGGGCTCTGGGAATTTGGTGAGGGTGGCTGTGAATGCCTGGCTGGAAGAGAGCGGTGCCCTGGCCAAGAGCTGTGTCTGTGCACACTGAGATGTGACATCCTCTCATGGAGAGGTGCAGCAGGAGATTTTGATCTGGTTCTAGTGCTGTTGTCTGCAGTGTGGACCTTTTGTTTGGATAATACCAGTCCGTGGCTGCAGAAGGGAGCTGTGAAAATGGGAAGCACCTCAGTTCCTGTGCTGAACTGGGAAGCATTATGGGGAAGGATAAACTAACTGTTTATAAAATCATCTAAAAACTGGGAAATCCAGAATATATGTCCATCACTAACTTGGTGTCCCTTTGTGGTGTTTCTAATATTAGTTTTGCTCTGATTTACACTGACAAATCTCTGCTAAACATAACAGTATTTGCAAATTGGCTTATTAATGATCACAGTAATTTGTGGCTTCACTCATCTTAGCATTGTTAGTAACTGCAGCTTTTGGTTAAGTTGTTAAAGAACATTGTTCACAGAATCATGTTTTGACTTTGCTAAAACAGTGAATATTATATTTTATTATGCAATTAAAATTGAATCAAATAAGTGTTTAATTCCTATATCATTCATTCTGTATCCATGTAGCCCTAACAGGAAAATATCAAGCACAGCTTTTGGAAGGTAAGAGTCTTCAACTTTTCTATAAATACTTGTGGAATCAGTTGTAACAATTCCATGAGTGGAAGTGGGAGAAGAGAGTAAGAATAAGTTTGGAAAACAAAAATGTGCCAAGATAGTTTTTCAAGGAAAGGGGCCTGTGTTTGGGTAGGGATGTTAAAGAATATAGAAGGCAATACTTGGCTTGGAGCAGGCCCCTGAACTGGAAAGAACTGTTAAAAACATAGATAGTTGCTTCCTTGTCTACCAGCTTTCTTCCTTTATACTGCTACTCACTCAGTCCAGGTATTGCTTCTTTAACCCTCATAATGTGGGCCTTGTTGCTGTTGCCAAAATGCAAAGGGAAGCAAGAGCACCCCTTTAAAAAGGACACACAGCATTGTCATCTTCCTTTGACTGAATGAACCAGCCCTGTGCTGGGGAAGCCTGTAAGGGTCAAGAACATTTTGGATAATCTCCAGTGTTACCTATTTCTGACACTATTCTGCAGTGGGAACTACTTGAGATTTCTTTTTTTATATATTTTTAAGTTCTTATTCTGTGAAATCTTCTAGGTTAACTGCACCAACCAGTGGGCAGTGGTGACCTTTTTAAAATTTCTAATAAGGCAAATACAATTCAGTACACAGTGTTAGTAAGGCTAAGTATTTTTTAAACTATGTTAATGCTGGTGGCAGATCCTATCAAAAGCAACAAAGAACTCACTCCCTAGAACTAATGTCATTGACTGTGCTCAGTATGACTTCATTTAGCTACCAGTCTCTTGTAAGACTTGTGTTTAAACAGTTGTAATTGTCACTGAAATGATTGCACCGATTTTAGCGTCGGATGTTCAAAGTCCGAACCAGACTCTTTGTCCTCCCTCCTCATCAAGCAAAATAATTATCCTTCTGATCTTTCAGACAACTCTTCCACAACAGTAACTTCAGCAGCAGTAATGGCAGCACAGAAGACTTGTTCAGAGACAGTATAGACTCCTGTGACAACGATATCACTGAGAAGGTGAGAAGCTGTGAGCCTTGGGATTAATGCACCCAACCAGACCCTGCTGCAGACCTGCATCAATGGACAAAGCTCTTGCTCACAGTAACCCCTGTTCTGAAGTGCCTCATTCAAAATTTCCTTGACATTCCATTGATATTACGACTTTGTTTCACAGTAATGCAAGAGCTGTGCAAGCACAGATCCAGGCATTGTGGTAGAACTTCTTTGGGGTGTATTTGCATTGGTCACCTTCAAGAAAAATGCTGGATCTGGATCTTTGGAGCTTGATTTCACTGCTGGCTTTGCAGAGAAATATGCCACCTTTAAAAAGGGTAGAATAGCTAAATGCCAGTTGGGAAGAGTGAAGGGGTGTTTGAAGAGAGATTCAAACTCCAGTTTTTTCCACTTCCCCTTGCAGGTAACGTACCTAGAGAAGAAGGTGACAGAACTGGAGAATGACAGCCTGACAAACGGTGACCTGAAGAGCAAACTGAAACAAGAGAACACACAGCTAGTGCACAGGTAACAGAGCACAGAGCCTGCCCTCCTTACCATGTCAGAGCAAAGCCACAACACAGCTGTGGGGAAGGAACATCCCTACCTGTAGAGTATGACCAAGTCTCCTTCCTTAATGCTGACAGATGAAATAAGGCTTCATCTGAGAAGTCAAGTGGAGTAAGGTTGAATTTTCAGCAAGCAGAGGCCTTCCAAACTGGTGTCTCTAAAAGAGATGTTGCTGACTTGTACAGAGCAAGCTGTTCTGCTGTGAGAAAGGTTGCTGTGGTGGCTGGGTTTGTTTTTTTTTTCTTGCATGTAGCAAGAGCAGAAGGCTGGGTCGTAGTCCCAGCTTCTTGAGATTGAAAGAATAATAGGTGAAGCAATACTACTTAATTCTGTGTTCTTGGGTAGATTAAATACCAGGAGAGATACTGGGAGAGATTAAATGCCAAGAGAGAGGGTGAAGTAGAATGAAATAAAGGAACGGGCAGGGAAGATGGAGGCAGTGAACTTGCACACTTATTTTTTAAGTACTTGAGAAGCGATTACTGAAGTGAGATCTGGTTTCCTTAGAGTTCACGAACTAGAGGAACTATTGAAAGACCAAGAAACATCAGCAGAACAGACCCTGGAAGACGAGATAAAGAGACACAGAGAAGCTTACAGCAAGTATGAAAAAGAGAAGGGCACTGAAATTGAACTGCTGAATACAAGGTAACAAACACCTTGGTGCCACCCAGAACAGAGCACAAGGTTCTCTTGTCTTCATTTTTACTTTGCATGTAAATGCAGGCTGTTCACCACCAGACACTGCACAGATGGTGGCAGGTTGGCAGGTCTGTAGAGTAGCTGTGCAGTTGTGTGTCTTAAAGCCCAAAAGCTGGGAAGGGTGCCTTGCATTAATGCTTTAATCCACATGGCCCATGTAGACAGCTTAGCTGGATATTTGGCATGGATTCAAGGAGGGAATTGTGGCCAGCTGTAGCAAACATTTGTTTCTTCCGACTTAATTTATTTATTTATTTTTTTTTTAGATACCTGTTTTTAGGAGCACAAGAATCTGAGGGGGTCAGTGTGGCATTTTGGGCCCTAAAAACAAACTATCAAAAAGCTTATGCTAAAATGTGCTAAGATAGGAAAGATTTTCTTGTCTGGTCTTCCCGTCAAGTGCAAGTGAAATGGCTTTTTAGAGCACGCTATTTTGCATGTCTGCAATCTTGAAGAGGTATTTGCTATAAGGTTTTTGTTCTTAACACAGGGTTCAGCAACTGGAAGAGGAAAACGGTGACCTGAAAAGCACTGTCACACGGCTGAAATCCCAGACGGAGAGATTGGATGAGGTAACGAAACCCCCCTGAGTGCTTGAGCAATTTAACAGCAATTCCATTTGTGTAAGAGCAAAACTCATACAGTGCCTGGCCCACCACCTTTAATTTTTCTGCCTTAAAACTGTCAATGGAGTTGGAACATTGGAGGCAGGAATGCCCCAAGACACAAACCAACTTCTTGACCAGCTGTGCCTGTAGGTTCATGTTGTAAAACTCAGGGTTTCTCCTGCACTTGCAAGCTGGTTGTGAAGTTTCCCATTTATTGTAGGAAAGGCAGCGCATGTCAGACAGGTTGGAAGACACGAGCCTGAGACTGAAGGATGAGATGGATTTGTACAAGAGAATGATGGACAAGCTGCGGCAGAACAGGCTGGAATTCAACAAGGAGAGGGAAGCCACACAGGAGGTAGGTGTGGAGAGGGATGCAAGGCCGGGTAATCTCTTCTCACCTGCGTGGAAACCCATCTGAAAAAGAATGGGCAGACAGGGTGAGCACTGAGAACAGCACACCCAGGGGACATCCTGCTGGATCGTGTCTCTGTGGGAGGGGTGCCCGTAGGGTGGTGAACGCTGCAAGAATATCAATGTCCATCCCTGACCCAAAGGGTTTACAACTCTTTGAGAACTTTGCAGCGGGAGGGGGCTGGTTGGGCAGGGCTGTGCTGGAGACACACGACCTCCTTGCGTGCCCACAGCTCATCGAAGACCTGCGGAAGGAACTGGAGCACCTGCAGCTGTACAAGCTGGAATGTGAACGTCCTGGGCGTGGGAGAAGCTCCTCGTCCAGCCTGAGTGAGTTCAACGCCAAGACCAGGGAGGTGGAGATGGAGCACGAGATCAAGCGGCTGAAGCAGGTGAGCAGAAAAGGCCTCTTGATGATCCACATGAAATGGATGGGGCTGCCTCGAAAAATGCCTACAACTGCAACCCCTGGCACGCTGCCTTGAGATTTCGTCCCCCCCTTTGTCACAAGCACGAGACACACGTTGCATCTGTGTAGGATTTCTCTGCATCAGTAATGTCAAGTTGTGCCCTGTGATCCAGCAGGGAGGACTTGTCAGAGGAGGTAAGAGAGCTGCTGTTCGCTTGCAGCCTTACCACGTGTCACCCAAATTACCTGTAATGTTAAAATAAGTACTTATTTTTAATGAGACCTTGTAAGAAGAACTTAAAAGCGGTGTGTCTTTTCATCTTCCTCAAACAGGAGAATCAGAAACTTCGTGACCAAAACGATGACCTGAATGGACAGATCCTAAGCCTCAGTCTTTATGAAGCTAAAAATCTCTTTGCAACGCAAACAAAAGCCCAGTCACTGGCTGCTGAAATTGATTCTGCATCAAGAGATGAGGTAATGTGCTTTTTTAATCAGGTACTACATCCAAGAATAAGCGTTTTTCGGTCTAATTAACTGTCAAGGTTGAACTGTCTGAAGTTGACAAATGAACAGCAGAAATTCTGCTTTGGTAGGAGTTCAAGAGTGTTATAACTCTCCCATTTCTCTCTCAAAAAAATGGAATTACTAGACTCTCAGTGAACTGCTTTACAATTTGAGGGTATTGTGATAGTATGACATTAGTTTCATACTGAAATGACTATGGATAGTTACTTAAATTTTTACTTTCTGTTCTAGATTTAGTTCTACGTTACTTCAGTAACTTAGACCTAAATTTGAGCTATATGTTGCCTTTGTAGCAGAGCTGGGTTCTTGGAGAAAGTAAGTAGTTTGCAAGTAATAGTGTGGTAATGCTTTGGAAGATATTATGGGATGCCCGTTTGCGTGGGCTGAGTGCAGCTGATGCAGCTTCCTCTGAGCTCCAGGACAGGTTCAGGTGAGATCAGGCCCATGGACCCATAAGAGCTCCCAGGGAAGAGGACAGGTTAGTGGTGAAGGAGATTAAAAGGAATTGTTTGCCCTTTATGCTCTGTTTCTTCCAGACAGAATTCCCTATTTCTTCATCAAGAGGAGTCCTGGGACAGGCCTTTTACCCAGTCTGTACTGGAATGACCTGCCAGCCTTTTAGCTCCTGGGCAGGCCCTTGAAGTGAAGTGCATACTTGAGTTTCTTGCTGAACCAGAGCTCTGTGAAGGAAGGCTGTTTAATTGTTGATCTCTAATTAGGTAAAAGCAAATTGGGCTTTTGCAATTGTCAAAAGAAATCTGACTTTCTCCCTCTGTACCTCATGACTCTGGCTCATGCAAGGGATGCCCAGCACTCCCCCTTTAAAGGGGGGAAGTGCCTGACAGCTGTGGCCCAGGCTCAGTAAAACCTCACAGACCTGCATAAACCGTTCCCATCACACCATTTTTCCTGTCTAATAAAAGAAAGGTAAGAAACTGCAGATTCAGGGAAGTATTTATGTGAAGGCTAATGAAAATGGACACCCAAATAACATGAGCTTTAGGTAAAAAGCAAAGCACTCTTCATCTTTGGAGAGGTTGAGGGGCCTTTGACCTCTCAGAAATCTAGCTAGTGGTAAACTAGTGAGAATATTTCAAGAACAACTTGGAAATGTTGTGTTTCAGCTCATGGAAGCCCTCAAAGAGCAGGAAGAGATAAACTACAGATTGCGACAGTATATGGACAAGATCATTCTGGCAATCCTGGACCACAACCCATCCATCTTGGAAATAAAGAATTGAAGAGAGTAGGAGAAGGAAAAAGCAGCAACTGCCTGATATTTCTGCACATGCCACTGGATCTAAACAACACTCTGATACTGTAAATTAATCTATAAATATATATATATATATACACTACGTGTGAGTGTGGGTGCGCGGGTGTGTTTATATGATGTTTGGTACACTGTTATTTGTCATTGAATTGGCTTGGTTAGACTTTTTCCATGCACTTTCAATACCTGTGATAAGATGGATACTGTATATTAATGTAATAACAATATAACTGGATCATGCTGTTTTAGATACTGGACAAAATGACTCTACCTCTAGTTGTAAAGGTAAAAAAAGACAATGGAAACATATGGATGTGGCCCTAACTTTAGGAGCAAGAATCTTTTTCTTCGTTCTTCCAGGAATTTGGGTACCACAAACCAATTGGCATACCCAGGTTCAGTTCCTGACTGGTGCTGACTGTGTAATTTACTATTTGATTAAGTTTTAGTAGTTCAACCACACATCGGGTTAAAAAAAAACAAACCACACAAGAAAAAACAAACTTTGGGAAAAGACACAAAGTAAACGGGAAGAAGAGGAAGATACTGCAAAATTGTTGCTATTTGTGAAAAATCACCATCCACTTGTTTGCCACTGTCAGCACAAAGTGCTTTTGATGTGAGGTCACTTTGGAGCCTGCTGGGGGATGCCCTGAGCCAGCTGCTCCTCGGCGTGTGTGCATGTGTGTTTGTTGTGCCAGGGGGATCCCTGTAGCATTGAGGCGAAGAGCTCTTCCAATCTGTTCCCCTATTTTCAGGGGTTATATCATGGGCCATTAAGATGAGTTCTGGGATCCTGCCCCTTCCCCTCTCCCTGATTTTAAAGATTTCACTGAAGGAACACATTCCAGTTCTTACCAAAAAAAAAAAAAAAAAAAGGAAAAAGAAAAAAATTGCATGAAATATCTTCACTTCAGGGGAGGAGGAGTAGCAGCCCTTGACATCACGTGCTGAGTTGCTTTTCCAGCCCATATAGCTGCACTCCTTCGAGAATGACCTTTTTTTGGGCAGGCTGTGGAGAGGATCCACTGGTTGCTGACACAGCCTTGGAGAGCAGTCTGGTGTGGAGTGGCTTTTACCTGTAGGGCAGGAAAAAGAAGGAGCTTGGTCTTGCAGGAGTTACCAGTCCAGACTGAGCACACACGTGCATATCTAAAGCTCTAAATAGGGAACACATCCTCGCTTAGATGAGCAGTTGTGCAGGTGCTTCAACTTTTAAGTGGGTACTGAGACTGCTCAGAGAAGTCAGTGCGACAGAACATAAGCTTTAAAGTTGAGTTTATGCTTAAATGCTGCCTTAAATAGGGATGACTTCAACATGTGCCTGTGTTCTCCAGAGCTGGATCTGCGTACTGTAGGGCTAGGACCTTTTTAATCAATAATGTAGCTTATGGAATTGTTTGGGTAGTTGAATGCTAAAAGCAAATTTTATTCCATGCACTTTTTTTAAAGTAAAAGTTTCACACTTTTTTGATTCACACCAACTGGCACAGAAAAATAGGCCCGGGTGTCCGGCTTTCCCCAGTGCATAGAGATGTTTCCTCTCTTGAATACACTCCCCAGAAGAACGTTACAGTAGCAATGACTGTGCTTTTCTGTGTATTTCTTGCTGTTGGCAGTGTCTTGCCCTTAGTATTCTCTCGATGTATCTTGGTGTGTATATGTGATGCATTTTTCCTGAATTTGAATACGTAAAACTGTATTCAGTTATGGATGTAAATATATATATATTTTTCTGCAATCTCTGTGCTCTTGCCTTCAGTGACGTGTTACTGGAGCGATGGGAAGCAGGGGATGTGCTGGAATCAGGCTTTCTTGAAGGCAAGAAGATAAAAAGAGTTTGTTTCTATGTATCTGCATTAGGCAGGTGTAAAGTAACTGGAAAGAGAGAAGGGACCAGAGGAAGGACTGTGGGACACAACACCCCACACAAAGGTGTCTGCAGGAGAAATGGTAGTGTGGTTTGAACAGGGATGTCTCAGGGCTGGGTTCCTGAGGCTCTAGGGTCATCTGGAGGAAGGGATCCACCTGGGAATGGTGTAAAACGTCCTGTGCTACATTGCAGCAGCTTCTGTTTGTGGAGAAGCAGGTGGAACACCATGGAAACCCCACACAGCCACCTTTCTGCTGCTGCTTCTCCATGTGCCACCCAGAAGGTGGGAGAGGAACAGTTAAGCCACTTGGTGCTACCTGCCTGCAGGAATCCTCACCTGCACTTCAGTGATGCCATTTCCCTCTGCCTGGTGCTGTCTGTGGGCTATGCCAGGGACTTTACTCTCTGTATAGGCCACAGAGGACTCTTCCACATGGTCAGGTGGCTGTTGCTCACCTGCTGTGACCAGCAGCCCTGGTGCTGGAGCTGCCTGTCTTTGGGAAGTTACACTCCTGTCCTGCTCTCGTGCAGTGGATTTAAATGTGAGTGAAGCTGTTGCAGCTTAGACTGGTGACTGAACATTTTTCCCTGATTATTTTTTAAGTAAACTAGACTTGGCTTCAAAATTTTAATAATCTAAAACCCGTTCCCACTAGGGTGTAACATCAGTAAATGTTGAGGACTGTTTCACTGAAAGCAGAGCCTGGCTTACTTCACTGAGACCACAGAGCCCATGGACACGAAGAGAAGACATGACTGTAGTGGTAGCCAAGTTCTTGTGAAGGTAGTTATATGTAAGAGGTGAATAGTCACTGAATCTGTCTGAAATCCTGAAAGGGATATTCCCAGCAGTGGATTTTCTAAAATCTCGCAGGACTTCTTCCTCAGCTCTGTACCCAAGCGTGTCAGTATTTAGAAGCTCTTCCTTGCCCCACTGTTTGCATTTGAAGAGTTGTTTTACCACCATGTTTGTGGTGTTTGTAGCTTTGTTTTATTGTGTAAAGGAGTTACCCTTCTGCTCCTGTGGGGCCCTTGGTGTGGTACTACTGTCTGGTACTGTTGAAATACGTATCCAGATACCTGCTATGTTTGACAGATAATGCGAGTTGGAGGCGGGTTGAGGCATTTCCCTGGCAGATTTTCCTCTAAGGTATCCACCTGTAAAAATAATAATTAGCAATTGCATTCTTAGACTGGGCAACTACAGGTATTAGACCAACCTGTCTTGCAGTTCAAGCCCTGGAAAGCAGTTCAATCCCAGAAAAGAAGTCATCACATTTTATGGCAAGCAGGTAACTTGGTAATAAGGGATCACTTGCTGGGTCACTGGGGCAGGGAGGAATCTGATGCTGGCAATGCAGAGAGTGCATACTTTGATCAGGTGTCAGACAGACACTTTGGCAGAACAGACGGCAGACGTGGCAATAGGGAGGCACCGGTTTGGGTGTCTGTTCTCTGAGAAGTTTGACTTCTTTGCTGGGCTGCCTTTGTGCTCAGGACAGCTGGGGGAGCGCAGCCTGCCTCTGTCAGTGTTACTGTTGGTGGAACAAGGGCCTCACTTCCCTGGGTGAACAGCTTCAAACACAGAACTGTAGTGTCACCCTGTTCTGGCAATACACAAATGCAGCAAACATTCCTGTGTCAGACCCCTGCTTCTCACCTAACCCCTGGGGAATGCAAACACAATCCCAGGTTCTGAATCCCTGATCTGTTCCTTAGCTCATTCAACCTTAGATTCTCAAAAGCTAAGTGATACTCTGGTCGAACCAGTTGCAAACCACTGCAGGTATTTCTGTACCAGTGGCTTCTGGCTGGAAGCTGCCCTTGGTCAGGGCAGTCCCACACACAGAAAAATTACCTTTCAAAACTTGCACTTGAGACTACCTGAAATTAGTCTCTAAAGATTTTTCTGGTATTGGTTGCTTCTCTCCAGACTTCAGTCTTCAGCTGTTGCCTAGTTTTGATTTCAGTGATGCTGATTCAAAACTGCTTTGACATCAAAAGAAGATTTTTCAGCTTTTTTAATGACTTCTACTAAAGACTCAAACTCTTCAAGAATTTGTCTTATTTTGAAGTGCAACAGTGACAAACTGTAACCATCCCATCTATTTTTAAGGAATTTTTAATATGCAAATTTGTAGCAAGCCTCAAAAAAACACCCAAAAGCATCCCGTGCACTTCTCCTGCCAACTTTCCTTGGTCTTTGGGAGAAAGTCAGATTTTCTCAGCCAGCTCAGTAGGGATTTGAACACAGCATTATTAATTCTCAAAGATACGTGTATCAACAAATATTTTGCTGTCTGAGTGCAGCAATGCCCCATTTACTTTGGTAGAACTGCGTTGCTCTCCAGAGAGCATCTAGAGCTGCAGTGTTTAGGCTCCCTCATCTGGTTTGTAAATGAGGGCTTGGAAGCTGATACATAAACACACACTTGGGGCTGTTACACCAGGCACTGCTCAGCGGTCTCTGCATCGTAGTGCTGGTGACATGTGATGAGTCTAAGAACTAGAATTTACAAATAAAAGAATAGGGTTTTTCCTTCTTTGATGGCAGTGAATATACAGTGGTTTTCTCTTAAAACAAATACTGCGTGATGTGGTCTGAGGGATTTTTTTTCCCAAGGAAGGAAGGAAGGAAGGAAGTAGCAGCTGATCAAACACTTGCCAAATCAGTGGCTTGGCTTATATTGATTTAAGAGAAAACTTGACTCAAACTTTAACTGAGCAGTTCCTGGTGCAAGCAGCAATGCTCATATTCTCGTCAAGTAATTTGTTTCTCAAGAAACATTGTCAAGAAGTCATGACAGGTGATGTAACACAGCTGGTTGGTTTTAAAGGATACAGTTCCACAGTTGCTGACATTTTGTTCCTTTGCATCGTTCCCCAGGGTTGGTTTTTTTCAGTATTTTTGAATTCAAAGTATTGATTCTAGGAGCAGTTTGGTGTTGAAGCATGTGTGGGTTTCTGTTCAATGAAACTCTGTATACACCTTCAGATATTGAGAAGGATTGCAGTAGGTGTTAGGTCTGAATCCTGTCATCCTGCACAATGCAACTGGGAGTTGCTCTGATGTGCAAGAGAGTTGTTTCTTTCTGGGATTTTTCCCCAGCGTTTGTTCTGTTAACATTTACACTCTTGGTCTTGTCCCACTGTGCCCACTGTCAGAGTGGCTGTGTGCCTTGGGGCAGCACTGGGAGCAGATAGAAGGGACAAATTCAGCATTCTTGGCTTCAGTATGGCTGAATATACCGAGACAAGAATATCAGCCTTGTCTTTATACCAGGCCAGTCCTGTCCCTGCCTTTTGTGTGGTCATGAAAACTGGTTGTGTTCCATGTACAAAATGCTGTAGCTGATTCTCACAGCGTGCAAGCCGATAGGAACATCTGCAGCCAGGGCCACGGTACCAGGGTTTGCCACAGTGTGGAGCCAGCTGACAGTGCTGCGTGGTGTTCTGGATACCGTGGGTTTAGCTCACTGGATTAAGTCTGGAGGTTGTGTTTCAGCTGCGAGAGTAGTGCCTGTTCAAACAGGCACAGAGGGGTTACTTTTGACTTAAACTTGAAACCTAACGAAAACACACAGTAACAAACATGGGTTTCTATGGTGTAA